CCTTGTATAGTGCTGCTCTATGTATAATACATGTATTGAGTTTTGCGGCAGTGGGTGTGGTAAACTTTCAATGTAATAACTGATAGCTGTGCTGCAAAATGTCCTTGGAATTTTTTTTTTAAATGTTGGCAACTATGGCACTATATCAAGGTGAAATATGTTTTTTTTTTTTAATAATCCCTGGTGGAAAATAATGAATCCTCCACCATAGATTATAAAAAAACAAAACAAAAAAAACACATTGTGTTGGGGGCGGGGCTTAACATGCGGCAGGGGCGTGGTCCAACTGCGGCGAGGGAGGGGTTAAATGTGCCCCCCTACTTCTGTCCCTGGCCCACCATGTGCCCCCCCTTAAAATGAATCCTAGAGACGCCACTGAAGACGAGTGGGTGCTTGCTATCAGTAGAAATTTACATTTTTATCTATTTATTTGCCGGTGCTTTACAAAAAAATATAGCAATTACTCCGTTGAGTTGGTTGACAGATAGAGGGATTATAGATATATTAACATGTTAGATTGCTTAGCCTTTTATTTAAAATAGTATGTATAATTTGAAATCTTGTACACGCCCAGTACACTGATGGACCTGTGTCGACTCACAAGAGCTATTCGAGAGCTATCACAGTCTTGCACCATTCCCAGAACTGATGCAACACTGATGATGAATAAAAACGTACATGACCAAAAACAAAGTTGATAAAGGCCGCCGTTCCCCAGCCACAGTCACATGGCCGCAATAGGTGTCCATAGTGTTGCCAGCAGGGGGTGGCTGCCTGAACTGACAGGCAGTCCCCTTGCTGGTGAAAAAGTGTAATTTTTTTAAAAGTTTTAAAATATAGATTTTAATAAAAAGAGCACATGTATTATAATTTTATATATATATATATATATATATATATATATATATATATATATATATATATATATATAGTCATACTAAGTGTATTTTCTTATTAATATATACATATTAGTAAAATTACATGTACATATATAATAACTATATATAGTGTGTATATATATATTATAAAATAAATAAGCAATAACAAAAAATAGTAAAATATATATATATATATATATATATATGTAATTTTATTCTAACTGTATTTTGATATTAATATATATTTATAGATATCTATACATCTATCAAAATACGCTTAGAATGAATATATATATATACAGGGAGTGCAGAATTATTAGGCAAATTAGTATTTTGACCACATCATCCTCTTTATGCATGTTGTCTTACTCCAAGCTGTATAGGCTCGAAAGCCTACTACCAATTAAGTATATTAGGTGATGTGCATCTCTGTAATGAGAAGGGGTGTGGTCTAATGACATCAACACCCTATATCAGGTGTGTATAATTATTAGGCAACTTCCTTTCCTTTGGCAAAATGGGTCAAAAGAAGGACTTGACAGGCTCAGAAAAGTCAAAAATAGTGAGATATCTTGCAGAGGGA